TTACAAGGGTGCTAACGGCGCTTCAATACAACTACTTCCTCGGAAAAATGAAACACAAGTCACTGACATTTAAGAACTAAATTCCGTGAAGCTGTGAACTTTCTTGTGAACTTAAAGGTTATTGAAAAATGTCGTTGACTTTCAATCTTTTTTTTTTCTTTTCATTATCGTTTTCACTACAAGAGAAGTTCCGAGACAAGAGCGTGAAACGACGGTTACGAAACTAAAGCATTCGAAAAACGATACGTAGCCAGCGCGTTTCACGAAACGTAGGCGATATCGTTCCTGCACCCAAAAACATAATATTCCCCTTCCCAAAAAGAAAAAAAAACGCATTGACGCTTGTCAAAAGGCCTACTCAAGGAAACTGACAAAGGTCAGCGTATTTTGGTTTAAATTGATTCTTCCTTAAGAACCTTTATATTTCTAAGTTATAAATATATATATATATTTTTTTGTATTCAAGTCCTTGGCGTCGTCGAACTATACTACGACAACCTACGCTTTAGAAATTCTACGGTGTTCTGAAAGCATAAATTGACTTTTCGGAGGGGTGCCTAGGTTTCAGTTTCTCATCGAGGCGCATCTTTATGCAAGCGATTGGCCCTTCATTACCAAACCACGGAGCGAAACATTATTAATATCACGAAAAAGGACCGAAAAATCAAAGCTTATTCTTCCGATACCCCTAGATCAGCACGGCATTTCATTCAGCAGGCTTGCGTTACCCATTCATATGTCCTACACAACAGGGAATATTTTTTTTTTAACAGCGCGTTTTGGTTGCGGTGAGCAGAATTGCAGGCGCATAGGTAAGTTCTATGAGAAATCAGAAGCTTAAAATTGCGTTCAAACTCGGTGTTTTACTGAAACTTTGTATACCGATGTGTGTGCCTTGCAGTTTTGTTAAGTGAACTGATGTAGTGGCCTTTGTCAATGTCTAGACTGTTTCCAATTAAACATGCCTTAAAAATTATTAATTGAAAAGTTGTCATCCGGAAGTAGTTATTTCATTGATTTTCCTTAGTAAGCCCATTGACAAAGGCCATATACCGGCATCAATTTTACTGCTCTTTGTCGGATGCATGAATTTAGTTATTATGCAGCCGGCTTTTCTTTTGTCGACTCGCGGCCACTGATATCCAATCGCGGCTCGGAGGGCGCATTTAGCAAACAGGTATGAAACCACCGGATGTAAGCGGCTTGTCCCCAAAGTAAGCGCTTGACAAGCTTTCAACCCTTCTGTGTGCTGGTAAGCACAGCGTGCAGGGCGCTGGATTTTTTTCTTTTCCCCTCAAGATATCCTACTTGGTGCGCAGTAACATCGCATGCAGATACGAGAAGTCTCCTAGGTAGCCATTTAGTTGATGAAGTGTACAGTGCGCCCCAAGCTTAATGCCGCCACTTGAACACCCGACTTCCGTGGAGCGGCGCTATCCTCGAGGGGGCCGTTTCAGCTGCTCGGTCCTCGTGAAGGTCATTCCCAATCTCCGGACCGGGAGAAGGGGGGGTAACAGGGCCGCCGCTAGGTGCCATTGACTCTGCGAATCACAGACTCATATCGTCGGAATCGCGTTTTTTTATTAAATTTTTTGTGTGTTTTGTTAGCATTTTAGCAGCGCCTTCAAGCTTTCTCCATTACGATGCACTATCGAAAGTTCTTTGTTATCAATCTTAAAGGCAAAAAACCATGTCGGCGTTCGGTGTCTTCCCGACAGCTGCTGCTCCGCCGTTGAAAAGATCAGTTGTTATTTTCTTATTTTCTTTTACCCGAAGTTCCGATTCAAATTTTAGCAAAACAATGTAATCAGAAGAGTAGCTTCAAGATCCTTCGAGCTGTTTTTTTTTTTTTTTATTTTCGCGAGCCGTTTTAGCGTTCAATTTTGTTTTGTGGCACCCTGTATATGTGTACATGCGCTGTATATCCCACTCAGCTGACAAGCCGTAGCGCTTATTTATCTACATCTCCTCCGTAGGGGCCAACGCGGGACACAGATTAGACTCGACTGCTGCATCAGTTGTAACCGTGTCACATGTTTTCACTGGCTTAAAACCGCTGTCCGCCGAACGCTGACGTAGAACTCATGTACAGTATGCGTCCCGTGCTGGCCCTCAGTAGGACACGGATGACATTAAACACTACTACGGCTTTCTACTAATAATATTCAATTACGGGTTCAGAATTCAGTAGATGCTCCGCCCCGTAGGTGTAATGCGTCCACTGCGAGAGCATCGAATTAGGAAAAAAGTAGCGCGTCGACTGCTCAGCGACATGGCGACATTGGCGACGTCGGTTTCACGGGCGAGGCGGAGCGAGCCCAGATTGCCGCTTATCGAACGGAACGACATCGTCGTGACTCTGCAAATCTAGTTATTTCGTAAAAGACAAATTTGTGGAAGATTTTCTATCTTCCACTGTCGAAGTTGACGGCGGGAACATTTTCGTCTGTAGCAATTGTGGAACGAGGCAACTCCAACTCACCCGGTTTACCATCCGAATAATAACAGCGATAAGACTCGACAAAGACGCGAATTTCGAGAATAATTAATGTTGTTTTCAAAGCGTCGTATTAGTAGGCCTCTTTTATTTATTAAAGCGAAGAGGGCCATGTTGCCGTTTAGACAGCATGGCCCTGTCGTCACTCCAGCATTTCACTCCGCCTATCGATTCGATAGGGGTGACTGCAGCGTTGTGACGCGGCTCCCAAATTACCACGAAGAAACGCGCACACCACCGCAATCTAGTGACGAACACTGTCTCAGGTGCGAACGCTAACGAAACAAAAAATAGCCACTGCCATGGAAGAAGCATCCGTAGAAATGTACAGGTGAGGCTTGTGCGATTGCCCCAGTGGTGCTCCGGAGCATTCCGACGTCATTTACACGATTGTTGAATTTTCACATCGTCACGCAAGAGCTACCGCGAAGAAACGGTCACATAGACACGATTTTGCGCTGAGGTTTGTATCTGGTGCGAACGCTAAACGTAAGAAGATACGCGATTGGCATCCCTTCCGTCGGTCTCGTTGAGAGAGGCTTACGAGATCGTCCAATCGAAGATCCTGAGCAAGTCGTCTGAAACTAAGTTGACCTCGAGACGACCGTATTATACTCACATCCTAACACAGAAACTACTGTCCGCAAATGTGAATTCCGGCGCAGCCCTCCGATGTAAACCTGGGTCACGTTGACAAGGCGGCGTCTCTCGGCGGAACTGACGTTGAAAACATCGCTAGTCATACTGACAACCATAGAACGATAGTACGGCAAGCCGTGACGTCACTGATGTCAAGAAATGAATGTGAGCCTTTTGCTAAAGGAGTGATATGAATAACTTTGGGGCGCATTTCCGCTGAATTCTTAACCTTTAGCCTCCTATAAATAGATATCATCATCTATGATATCCTTGCGAGTCTGACGTCAAGAAAATCATAGATAGCTGTGAAATAGTAAATGTATAGAAAAGTATCGCTGCTTTCAACGAGCATGCGAAAGGAATCCATCCTGAAAAGTTATGCATGGTCATCAAACAAGCAATGCACCGGTATTTTAAAGCGCGCTAAATGAATGGCTGCTGCCTAGTAACCTTACCAGTCTTACAAATATGATACGGAACGTAATATCAGGCTCGCTGTGTTTGCGCATCTACAGCCCCCCGTGTCGCTGTTTCGTAGGCTTGATTGTCGCTTGTTTGTACTAATAAATTCGATTACCGACCGAACGCTTTGTCAATACTCTTTTGTTTTGGCAGTCCAAAAGGGTGTTTCCTTCTACGGTATGTGTTAGGGTTATGTCCTGCACAGGGGAATGTTAACCAGCGTTTTTGCACTGGCTTCGATGCGCTATCGTGCATTTATCAAATGCACTTGATGGTGAACTGATTCCCATGCTTTGCTCTCGCAGTGAAACGTAGAACAGATCGAAACCCTCACTTGTCCTCTGGTTGTCGTGCTGCGTCATAAACTCCATTTCAGCAAACAGCGAAAAAAAAAAACGCATCTGAGGAACCTGGATGCTGGCTGCGCTGACTAAACCCTGGTAATACAAGTGGGTAAACACTGTTAAGTTCATGGTGAGTTCGGGCTGAAGCATGTGGGCGCCTAGTCTGAGATTAGTGTGTGTGCGCTCGAAGCCCTTATCAAGGCAAGATGCACCGGGAAAATATTGAGAGCTCGACTTGGTATAGCTATGTGAACATAAGTTCAACCAAAGGGTTGAGAAAATAGAAAGAGACACCAAGTTCCGGCTCGTGTTTCCGCTACAATTAAACCGGATTGGTTGTTAAGTAAGATTGGAAGGGAGGGGCAGCCGGTGGTTTTCGAAAAAATTTATGCATTATACATGTGTGCGAAGTCGGAATAATATACTGAATCCCATCGTCCTGGTGCAAAATGTATGTAGAGTGGACAGTCCGGTAGGTGCAGTGAAGAAGAGACAAGCATTGACTACGCGGTAATCCGGTTCCGGACACAAGGCACTTTATTGCGTCATGGTTTTGTCTCACTGTTTGTTGATACTATTGTCATGACGGGCAACGACAACCATAGGACGAGGGAAGTATACGAAACTTCATATATTTCACCGAGCGAGAAAGGTACGTGCATTCGTTCAACATTTTAGGGATTACATAAATTCGGGGATTACTCAATGTGAAGTGTTTGTTAATAGGATCCTTCTAAACGTTTCTTATAGAGAGATCCCACGCTAGAATTTTCAAGTGTTGACATACGAACCCTGATTAACTGTCGAGTGATCTGCCAACAGAGCATGAGATAGAGGTGCACAGACGAAAACTTCAAAGGAAATCCTTGGCATTCAAGCCTTCGTCCGCTTTCTAATCCATTATCTATGCAGACAGTTGTATGCTTGTTTTTCTTTGCTTGCAACATGTGCAACCGAATAATACCAGTTGAATAGCAGATGTTCCAATGCCTATACTTCCTTATGCCTGAATAGATGATAAAACGAAAGGTTGAATGCTAGTTCGCAAGAGTGAAAATATGAGTTTACACGACTTCGCTGTTGTAATTATCGTCAGCATATTATTCGGTAAGTGAGAATGTTCGTTTAAGTAAGCAGGAGACTAATACCTTGAATGTTTCCGTAATCCAAGCCTGTAATGAGCTTGATCCTTTATAAATCTGGGTTGGTGAAATAATTAAAAATGTAATTTTCAAACCGACGTTTTAGAAAATTTGTTATGAATTTTTCTTTGGAGTAATTTTGTAATCGCTTTACTTTGTAATGAAGTGACTACAGGAGTAAACTGATTTTTCTAGGCATTTTATTCGCGTGTTACCCCAAATAATTTTACACACTGCCTCCATTTTTCTTATCACGAGTTACAACCTATTTCCACCGATATTTTTACTACAAAAGAGCGAGTGTCACAAGCTAAGAAAGAAATCATTGGTCTAAAAAAAAAAACTAAAGGGAAATTTAGAAACTTTCTGCAGTCAGAACCCGTGCGAAGAACCAAACCGAACTACATACTGTCAACTAGAAGTTCTACTAAATACAAACCAAGTTGCCTGAATGCTCTAGTTTTAACCACTTTGTGTCAAACAAAGCTTCACTTAGGGGTAACTGCCGGTTTTTTTACCCTAATTGAAACACTAGCAAATCAAGGAAACAGTTCGCGCCTCGCTTTAAAAAAGACGTTCCCATTCCCGATAAATCTAACGCAAAATGAATATAAAAATAACCCTACACAACTTGCCATGAAATAGTCCTCATTTTGGGACGTATAAGAAAAAATCACCACATAAAAAAATGGTTGTCGCCTCAATCAATTGCATAACGATGCATTTTATGATAAACGTGTCCATGGTATGGCTTGTTCATGAATTTATTTAATTTCATATATGGTCCATCTTCGTTCGCTTACATTTAACTTTATATCTACGGAAGTGTTTCTTCCCCAGTAAGATGTGATCGTGTTCGGGGCTACGTTAAATTATTTCTGGCCCCTCAAACAATAACCTGTGCTCCATGGCTATCAACCGTCTTGTTTGCCTTCTGTTCACGCTTGAATATTTATTGACTATAAACGATACCAATTTTGTTTTGCTTTCTGCGAAAAAAGATGACTAAGCTATCATAATTTGATCAATAAGTTTTCTTTTTGAAAAGTTTATTTTAGCCATTTACAAAACTGGAAGCTCCACTGTACGCTCTTGAAGCCCGATCAGAGGGTTGACTTTCTCTTTCATTTTATGTCTAGTTATTTTAGAAGTTGTTCAAACTTTCATTAGAAAACTCGATAAAAGAATAAGGCGTGATCGCTTGCAATTAATCGAGAGTAAATCTTTACGAACAAGTCATGTTTGCTGTCCAATCGTGTGAGACCGCGGAAATATTCAACAACCCTTTTCTCACCCCTATGTTAAATCTGGATACTTGACTTCTTGATTTACAATTAGAAGTAAAACAATTCATTACTTCAAAAACATACTGACAAAAAAGGAGTGGAATTGTTTGATTTGAATTGACTGGCCTCGAGAAGGGGACCCTCGAGCACTCGCTGTTCGTAACCACAACAAGGAAAATACATTTTTGTAAAGCGCTTATTAAAAAAAAGATATATTGTACAAAGTGAACCACACCCGCACACACAATGTTTTTTTTGTGCGGAGTAATACTTCGTGACGCGGAATCTTCGTGGCTGCCACGTGGAGCCTAGCGAGTACGCTCACGGAATGACGCCATTGTTTAGGGCGTCAGCCCCGGTGTTGGTCCGACAAATTTCCAATTTCTGCAAAAAAGAAGCTTCTTTGATTCATTTCATTACAATTGTGTTCTTAAAAAATTGTGATCCTATTCAGAAAAAAGTCACATAAACGGGAGACTTGAAATAGTAACCCTATGAGCTACGGTTACTTTTTTACGTACTTTCCAAATATAATTTACATAGAGTTGTCAAGTAACTAAATAGATAACGATTCGGTCGGGAGTATTTTAATGAATTGCATTTCAGTGACGTGTCAAATACCCTTTAAGATTAACGGATCACCAACTGGTTCACTTTGTTCGGAAAGAAGAGTTGCCCTTGAGAACGGAATCTGAGATGACCGTGCCGTTATTGCAGTCACGCATTGAAAGCCAGGAATATTCTTTTTGAATCAGGCAGGGTTGAAAATTTCTGGCTTAGAAAAGCTAGAATGATAACTTGATATTCGCTTAATAAATGAATATTGAACTAAAAACAGGAAAAAAACATGAATGTAAATCTGCGCGTTGTCGCATGAATGTAAATGTTCTTATAACTAAGCTGGCAAGTAGTGCACTCTCGTAAGGTAGAAAAATTAACAATCGTATGTGATTCTAAAAAAAAAAATATTTGAGACATTAAGGCGCAAGTGATCTGATACCCAACAACGGGAAAGTGAAATTATGTTCGTTTTATCAGAAAACGGCTAAACACAATTTTGTTTCATTTGGATACTGAGGTAGCTGCCGAGACATTACGGTAGACCGCGCACAAATAGACAGAACGGGCGAGGTAAGAAGACAACAGAAGAGGAGCGCGTACATTACAAAACTTCCTGTAGGCCGACTCTAGCCGTTGGAGCTTTATTTTAAGCTTGCGCCTTGCGCAGTTATGTCAGCTTTCTAATGAATTGAATGGCGCCGCTTCAATTCAAATGCTTTCTTGTAAAACACAGCTGTCGCTCTCCTTTCAGGATTAAATACCGCGAAGTTGTGAACTTTAACTTGAATTGAGAGCTTGAACGAAAAATCCACTGAAATGTATTTACAAAATAAAAAAAAAAAGATTATGTTTTCTCTTTAGCGAAACGTTCGAGGCAACACCGTTAAACCGTTGTTATGAAACGGAAACATGCGGAGAGACAATACACAGAGAGGGTATTTCTCAAAACATCTACGAAATCGCCTCTGAGAAAAAGAGCATCCCACGCATTGAAAATGATGTCGCATCGATGTCTTCCAAGCAACCTATTCGGGAAAATGAGTAAAGTTCGGTATAATTGGGTTTATAATAATTTTTCAGTATTTAATTTATTAAGTGTATTAATATTATTTCAATTTAAACCGGTCTGAACATCATTGAAGGTCACCACATTAGCATGCTTTAGAAGTATATAAAATAGTATGCAGCACTTTAGGGTGTTTTAAAGAAACAAAAAAAAAAAAAACGGTTGTAACGCATTTTTAGGTTTCAATTTCCCATCGAACCGCTTTGTTACGCATGCGACTGTGGGCTCTTCTTTGCCAAACCGCGCAGATCATGTGCGTGGCTACGCGCTATTCACATGATGACGAAAACAGAAAAATTAAAGCTTACAATGGGATTATTGTTCCAACAGCACTGCGTTTCATTTAGCTGGCTTACATTACAACTGCACCACCACGGACAGGTGATACTTTTTGGGGGGGCTGGACGCCTCGAACGCGGGGAGCAGGATAGTAGACGCAGATGTGCGGTCTGCTAAAAAATCAAATGTAAAAAAAAAAAAAAAAAAACGCTTGCCTACCTGTGAGGTGAAACCCTGCGCCAGCTGAGCTGTGACGTCGGAGCAGCTAAGGTGTAATTTCGAAACAGACGGACTGAATAAGCGGTAAAAGTGCGAGCGCGCACCATAGAGTCCGCATAAGTGTTTCGTATTAAACCGAGTAACACACCGGACGAAGTTTCCATAGTGTTTTGGAACTTATGAAGGTGTATTAAGTAGAGAGCATCTCCTGAACATGCTAACCAATTTTATTGGCCACAAACTAAGACTGCCTCGTGGTAATTAAAGAACACTTCGGAAATCGAGCGCTTAAGTTTGAGATCCAGGAAACGACGAAACTGTGTGCGTGTACGCATGAATCGTTCCCAATCCTCGGGTGTGGCTGCCTGAACGCCTTAGGCGATTTTCCCGCCTTGGCAATCAATCTGCGACATACGGAACATTATATTTCTCGTAGAATTTTAAGTCATTTTTTATCAAACCAAAGCCCTATTTGCTGGCCCTTCACTTGAGGGCCTCCACTAGGGTATTGTATCCTAGATATAACTCACTCTGTCTTCCAGCCAACAGCCATCAAAGGCGCTTGTTCCAATACGGCAAGAACGATTGTTAAACTGACAAAAAATACCCTATTTCTGTCGTAGGCATGCCTCCCGCAACCCATAGTGGTCGCGTACAAATATCTCCTCTATGACTCCACACAGCAACTCAAGCAACTATTTCCATGTTAACTCCAAATGGAATTAACATGGAGCGCGCCATTTCGAGCGCTCCGAAAGCGCCCCAAGTGGAGCGCTTTCGGAGCGCTCGAGATCTGCGAGCGGAACTCACCATAATAAGTGCACGATTTCGGAGGTTTTCTTGAGTGGCTACAAAGAAATGTTAGTTTGTGCACGACAGTGACGCTTTGAGTATAAAACTGGTTAAATGCGCACTGTGTTTACACAATATTTACGATATAAACAAAAGTACAGTGCATTGTCTAAAAGTCCGCGGTTGCTGCTTAGGAATATCTCTCTTTTTCTTTCTCTCTCTAAATCTCTCATCACCATCTCATATGATCTCATTGCCCTGCCAAGCGGGAGCGCTTGGCAGCTATGTTCGGATCCCGACGGTCTGTGCACGACTAAAGAGAGCGCCCTCCTGCGCCCTCCGGTTTCGTGACAAGCTCGTGTCGCAAAAAAGCCGATGTCAGTGGCGTGACGCAAAAATCCATGATTGATCGATAAGTTCATGACGTCACAGCCACGTGACCTCGCGCGGGAATCTCAAACAGCCAACAACGCTCACGCAAAAAGTGATGTGACGCGTGGAATGAAAACGATCATAACATGACATGTTGGAAGAATTAAAGGTCGCCTGATGTTTCATATGAATCCACTTTATAAAGTAATTAATTTTCCTAAAATAGAGATGTGAAGAAGTTTAGGCGGGATTCGCTTCCGAGCCGGACACGCCACCGACAAGGCCTCGCAAGGCATGCTTGCACGGCTGTGGAACGAGAGGGAGTTTATATGTTCACAAGTCTCGACATCGCGTTTCACTCTTAAAGGTGAAGCTGAAGCGTCCTACCGTAATTTTTATGGGTATCCAGAAACTTGCGAGGTGTGTTTTCCCGTGCATTTATTATTTCTCTTAATATTTTTTTTTTAATTCCCCAGCACTTAAACCTTTCCCCAAAATGAATCCGTTTTAATTCTCCAGCGCTTAAGACTTTCCCCACAATGAATTCGATGATGCAAAAGTGAGGATTTCTTTTAACCATTCCAGGAAACAGATGCATCTTTCTTTCTTTTCTTTAACGACGCCTTTGTTTTAATTATTATATCTTGAAAATCAGGTAACTAAATAATGTTCTTGTAGGCTTGATAAGTCTAGAGCATCAATGGTATTAAATGCACGCAGGGCGATCTGAAATGCGCTCCTTCTTAGTGTTTTAGTAATTTTTCTGAGTCACGTGGATTTGTTTTCAAATGTTGGCGAAGTTTAGACCGCCTCAGTATTCGGTGTACTTTGATAATTACGGTGCAATTAGATTTTGATTAAAAGAACGCTTCACATTTGGAGTAGCTTTCCAGGTTTTTGTACTTTATTCAGTGCATTCAGAGTAACTCGTCCGGATTTAGCTAAGTCAGTTGACAACTTTAATACAAAATCGTACTTTTGGGGAACGTTTGGATGCATGATTTCTTAAGACAATCTAACAGACGATGCGAAACGCTCATTGGTCGCCTGCTATTTACAGGAGTTGCAGACAGGGGACAGGCTGAAGAACAGAACGATTTTTCAACACCGGTCGAATGTGGACGGCGCCATATAAGGAATACTGTTTCCGAAAGAATCATGAACGGCACCGACGCAAAACCGGGCAACTGGCCGTGGATGGTGGGGCTGTATACTCGCAACGATACCTTTCATTGCGGCGGCGTTTTAATAAGCGAGCAATTTGTGCTGACCGCTGCGCATTGTTTTCAGTATGTACACACTTCGTCTGTTTTCTTTTGATGAAAATTATGTTTGTTACAACCCGTCACAAGTTGTGTAATATATGGCTCACCTTTGTTGCATACAAATGGACAGTATTTGGAAAGTCTTTTTGACAATTTTTAATAGCATTATTTCGAGATACTAATATATGTAGATATATATCTAAAACGTTTTGATTTAGTATAGGCATATATTTTAGGTGACTTTTTTTCACTTTGAATATTAGGTATTTTCTGACATATTGCTAAGCACGGTGATATCAGGATTTTTAAACCACAAAGAATTCGCACAGCTTCTAAATCTATGAAATTCCAGCATACACAGATGGTTTAGTATGATTTCCCAACTGATATACATTTTCCCGCATGTAATACGCTTATAACATGTTTTACATGCGTTTATCACGGAAGGACTGAGGAAAGCCGACGCCCGAATAGCCAACAGTAATTGACAACGGCTGCAGAAAGGGATCCCTTTTGTTGCATTTTTACACTGGGAGGAACCCATCTCTAAATAGATTATCCGCATGCGGTGTAAAGATTATAATATACGAGACATTGCTAAAATCGTCAAACATGTTTTTTGATATAGATATATGTATGAATTGAACAATTGTTTAATTTTGAAAGCACGCGTTCAAAACGCCGCTGCTCTGACTCAGGCTTTCGCCGGCGATATTTGCTTGCTCTTCGAGAGGAGCGATGTCATCTTTTTCAATCAGTGCTCTTCCATCATAAAAAGATCGAGGTACACCTAAGCATTCCCTCAGAGTTGTGAATGCGATAGCATGCAATCCGCTCCGTCCGCTCCCTTTGTCGTCTGCTGCGTACTTTTCGTCGCCGGTCAGCGCGTGTGCTCCCCTGGTGACCTTGGACGCTCCGTGCCCAGGGGAGCAACGGCGCTCTGATGGACACGCAGCGACATGGGGTGAGCGGTCGTGGAAACTGGCGAGCGCAGCGGCCAATGGGAGCCCTGTTGACGTGCGCCAGCCAATGGAACTGAAGTAAATTAGGTGCCGTTTTCGTGCTTCAAACTGATGACGTCAGCTCGCTCCATGAGACAGTTAAGGCTTCGGCATTAATATACTCTTAAGGCGCTAAACTGGCAGTGATAACGATGACAGTACCTGATGTAGCAGAAAATACTAAACATATTTGGAAGAGATAACAGTTTGCAGATCACACCTGAGATTAAAATGTGGAAACGTCCCGACCACTCTCGACCACCGCGTTTCCGCGACAAAGCAACACCGCGTAAGGCTATTTCCCGGTTCCGGCTGTGGATTACTATTGCCAATCCTTTTCAGTGCCGACTGTACACACCAGTTGTTCAAGGCACATACATATTCGCCAAACAGAAATTGCTGAAACATCACACGGGGTTATTTTGTGACAAGGTTTTCCCTGCAAAAGAGAACGCACATAAAATGCAAACGATAACTTTGTGCTATGTCCCGTTTCGTACTTCTTAAGTGCAGTTCCGATAGCCTCCAAAATAGAACTCTATGACGAACAAAGATTGTAGTGTCGTCTAGGATTTCTTTTTTTTAAATTTAGATATCCCTGATGGTTTGACAAAGGGAATATAATTACTAAATAAGAACTTTACCTCACCACTTACTCCCTCCCTCTCTAATGCTTGAAGCAACAAGAACGCCAGCTTTCTGTCTGCGCGTCTCGGAAGCACAAACAAAACAAGGGCCACAGATTGTTCTGATGAAACAACTCGACGTGACGCCGCAGAACGGAGTGACACAACAGAGAGCGACGCGACGCAGAACGTCAAGGTCACTTGCGTTGATGTTGAGGAGGTCTGCATCCCTGTTCAGGACGACTGTAACTTTTTTATGGTATTGCATCCATTATTATATTTCACTATTCTCTGCTGTAAGCTATCGGTACATAGAGTTTAACCAAACACATTTCTTTTACAGAAAGACATTGCGATATTGAGATTAAAAAGACCTGTAAACTTGACAGATTTCATTCGGCCAATCTGCCTTCCGCAAAACTGCGTCGAACCGCGTTTAGACGTACGCACCTATATTGCAGGCTGGGGCAAAATCGAAGGTAAGCTGTTTTGCTTCAGCTTATTATATTTCCAACCGAATGCTATACAGCTTGTACGGACAATCGATGGCCAGCGTTCTTTTTCTGCTTTTTCTTCTTTATAATTTAAGGGCCGCCGTCAAAACTACAAGTGAAGTCAGTAATAGCCAATTACAATCATCACATAGTGAACTGTATAGCTTACAGAAAGACAAGGACATAGAACAAAAAGACGATAGAGACATAGTGAACAATGCTCTTTACTGTTCACTACGTCACCATACCAGATTGCCCAGCTTACCAGCTTTGTCATCAATCACGCTATAGAGTAAAACTTGGTGCTTTACATCACCCAGTCTGAGTAGCTTGGGAAAATTTAGAAGTTGTGGTGCTAACAGTTTGCTGCAGTGCACTTTTTATCATAGCAAGCCTGCCGGAGTACGTTATCGTAATCATTGCGTGATACTGTATTATCGACCATTTTTGTAGACGACGTAACAAAAATTGAACAGTTTGTGAAACGTGCGATTTATGTTCAGAAAACCATCTGGAGGCGACGGCGCCGGTTTCATAGAAACGGTCTTGGCTTTTCGTTTCGTTCTATACAGAAATAAGTTTGCATTTACCATGATGACTTTGTACGCGGTGCAACAAATAATACTTGGAGTTGTATGTTAGCCAGCGTATTCGCTACAAACGCGAATGAGAAATCGGTAGCTGCACAAATGTGGAGGAGAGACCTCAAAAATCCGCAGTAATACATAAATTCTTCGATCTAAATATGATGGTGTATTATCAAAGGGCGAGTAGGCTTAGTGAGGCAAGTTTTAGACAATGGCTTCCGTGGTACTGAGCTTATATTCCAATTACCAGCAGAGTCAATTAAACAACTCTCTAGTTGAGGCTTTTCAAGTGGCTCAATAGAGAAGAAAACTGGCGATGGAAGTCAATAGGCCAAATCGACTAAATGTAGTAAAAAAATGTGAAATATCCGAAATAATTTCGCTTGAGTGTACCGAGCATTTAGAACAATTAGCAACCTCTAAACATTTGATTAAGAAACACTGCCACGATGCAATAAAATTTTCCATGACATGCGAAAAGTCTGCAATTCTCAATTCGCTCGGCATAACTCTTCGAATTAGGCGCCAACCAGAAATAAAATTACTACTATTTACTGCAGGTAATTTGAAACTGCTACTTTGCCTGTAGTGACCTACCGTATTGTCAAATAAATAAAAATGCTGCTTGAAATTCAGTACTCGTTTCAGGAGTTACGGTTCTTCAACAACCTGGGAGCGAGCTTTTTTTTCCCTCACATAAATTGATATGATGCTTTGAAGAGTTAAATATGTTTTGCCAAATTCGAGATTATTTTGTTCGTTTTCACCGGGGAACTCGAGAATTGAAGTAAGGGTAGTGACACTGCGTTCAGGAACACACATTCTAGTTAGTTATTTAAAACAAAATGTAAAAAACTACACCTGACCTCCCATATCCCCGTCGGAACTCGAATCCCCAAGCCACCCAGATTATGATTCCTTAGAACAGCTATTAGAAGTACCGCGTCCACAGGCACATCCTCCCATAAGCAGCGTGTCTCGGTTTACGATCTAATTATATGAACGGTTATGCTTAATAACATTACTGGAAATTCACTATTTCACACCGAATATATTATGGACTTCGGTGGAACAGCTTGTAGTCTATATCATTTGTGACCCTTTTATTGTTGTGTTTTAAGGCGACAAACGAAGCAGGGTATGTGGCTTCCGAGCTCGCAGACTTGTGGTGTCTTACTTACGTAACATGCCTCACAGTCGTAGATGGGGACTCCAGTTTTTTTGTTTTTTTTTGTCGTGACTGATAAGAAGTATGATGTCATTACCGATTGAACTGCGAGGGACCACCAGTGTGGTAACGAGAGGTGTGGGTTAAAACTTTGTATATAAAGAACCACTGAAACATAATTGGCGGAGGGGATATTGCCAAGACGAAATGTCTTTTTCTTCTACCGCCTTTTGACTGCAGAGTTCAGTAAATGTTTCAATTGTTTTAATCATTCAATTAAGAAATAATTAATTACTGGTTCTCTAGATATATTTTCTTAAGAACAAGTTGCATACTTACCATTAACAGAAAGTAGGCATCTGCTAATTACTGAGTAACTCGCTTATATTCGCTTCAAATAATAGTTTTTTTATTCCTATTTACGGCCAAATATATCGCAAAACATACGAACATACAACAATCAGATATTCTAGGTGTCACCTCTGATGCAAATATTAATTTCATAAATCTATCTAGTGGTTGAAGACTCGTACGATTATGACTACGAAGGCTATGAAGACTCCGAAGAAGGAGGAGATGACGAAATTTCAGCGGAAGAAGAAATAAGCGAAAGGGCACCTTCAGGACCAGCAGTAATGGTAAAAGATGCCCAAACACACACGCTGAAAGAAAGAGAGATTTACCTTATTACTAAGGAGGAATGCGAACACCAACTTAACAGAACTGTACCGGACTATACCGTATGCTCCACTGGAGGAACATGTCGAGTGAGTAGAAACAGCTATTGTAGAATTTTGTGTTAAACGATCAGTACCCACCGCGCACGGGATCGAACCGGGACCGGTTTCGTGCGATGGCGCAGCTATTTCGCTATTTTTCCCTCCCGCGGTCTGCAAGGCTTTGGAAAGTGAGGGGACCTTTTCTCCCCTGTTATCGAATTTCTTCACTGATGAGAGGACAACGAGAGGGACGGGCTTCACTTGTCCCACCTCCTGCGTGGACTTCCTGCCTTCGACAACGCTTCGCCGTCCCGTAGACCCAGAGCGTGCTCGCACGTCGAAGAAACGGCGAAAGGCAACGACCGCCTGCTAGAGGCTGGGCGCTCTAAAGACATGCCAGGCCGTTCTCACCTCGTCAGGGGCTACACTCTAAAAACATTTTGTGCGTCCACTTTCATGCAGAACACTTGGAGAGCCAATCACCACAACTTACGGAGGCAGCTCAGCGAATGACAATGCCGAAACATATGTTAAGACCTCAAAACGCAGTGTGAGTCGTGACATTAAGCTAGGCAAAACGTCACGGTGGCACAGCTTGATGTTAAAACTCAGACTGCGTTTTTTGGCCAAAACATGTGTTTCGGCATTGTCATTCGCTGAGCTCCCTCCGTAAGTTGCGGAGATTGACTCTCCGAGGGTGTTGTGCGGGGAAGCAGACGCACGGGCCTTTTTTAGAGTGCATGCTCCGAGAAACTGAGGGAGAGGGGGAGGCAACGGCGCGCGGACACGTCAGAACGCCGACCTCTGGTTCGTAAAATTAGTGGGCAGACCTTTGCGTCCACCGCGTTCGCCGAAAGCGTTCGAACGCGGAAGCCAGACACCCGACGCCGGCGTTCTGTTGCCCTCCTCCCCTCGCCTTTTCCTCTTTTCCTTCCAAGAGGAGGAGGCGAGGGTACGCAAGACGAGGGGCTGGAGGCAATAGCCCCCCAACTCTACACACCCCCCAAAAGTTTTCTTTCCGCCCATAAACCGCCGACCGCGTCCCCGGAACCCCGGACTTTGGTCCATCCCACAGCGCCACAGGGCGCCAGCGGTTCGGGGGCGGTTCGGGGCCGGTTCGGGGGCGGTTCGGGGCGGTTCGTGGGCCGCTGCAATACCTTTTAGGGAGGAGGAGGAGGGAAGGGGAGGGGGGGGCGGGTTCATATCACGTAAAGCCACTGTATTCACAAAAGTAGCGACATCCTTTGAAGAATGCCGCCTGCTATCTTGGAGCGATCCAGGCGGCGCTAACGTCGTTGCGCGAGCGCGAAAGAGCAACATTTAACAAAAAGAGTGTGCATAGGGGAGGAGGAGAAAGAAGAAGTGCCTATTCTGTCGGAGTGCAGTACATGCTATGAGCTCATGTCGCCAATCAAATAATGCCGACTGTGCAACGTCACTGCTTTCATCATCTTTCTTTGAGCACATCCTTCACGGCTGGTATACCGTGACAGTGCGCTTTTATCCTGTGTGTATGCATTTGCGTGTTTTTCAGCCTTTGACTGCGCTCTGATTCAAGTATAAACCAAGTATAGGAAGGCTGTTTGCTATCTTGGAGCGATCTAGACGGCGCAACAGTCGACGTGCGGGTGTAAAAGAGCAAAACAGAAAGGTAAAAGGTGTGCGCGTCAAAACAGATGATGTCGCTACCTTTTTTATTTTGGGGCATTAGTATCACGGGCAGGCGAGAACCGATAGTTCTCCCAAGGGAGGGAGCGGGACACGTTTTTAGGAGTCAGCCGCGGGCCTACAGATGACTGCACGCCTTGAGGCGCCGACATAAACCTAATCCCCCTTCCCCTCCCCCGCCTTCCTTTTCCGGAATAAACTTGGTTGTGAAAAAGATAAGCGATGGTAAAGAACGTTGTGGGCGTGTGCCGCCCCTTGTAGGCCACTCGGACTCCGCTGTGTGTGGGTATGGCGGCCCAAGTGGTTCCGACAACACCCCCCCCCCCCCCCCCCTTTCCTACCTTTCCCCGCACCCAAACAGTTTTTTTTCTCTCCTTGGGACATGTTTCGTGCGAGTATTCGCCTCGAGAATGAACTAAAGCTTACGCTGCTGTGGCGCTATCATCATCAGCACTGTGTGGATAGGAAGATGGCTGTCCCATAGGCTATCTGCGGGCACGGCCAAGAACCTGCTCAATATCGCGTTTATTGCCTTGTACAGTGTCATTGTGAAAGCAATTTTAACGTAAAATGATCCAGCACTGCTCATTTCCACAGTGCAATACCTTTTGCACCGAGGTGGGGGTCAGTTTTCACCTATATCCAGTGGCCGGAGCGCTGAAAAAAGAGTGGCTGTCGAAGTTGATATCTGCGAAGGAGACTTCGATTTACGCCTTTGTTTACTGTAACCATTTCACCACCAAAGATTTCAAGCCAATGATACATGACAACAATTATAAGCGGGCAAAAAACGCTGGTTCCATATGTTTGATGAGTGGCCCAGCTAGGGTAAAGTACGCGTACGTGGAGCACGTTGATAGTCGCTCGCTGCTGGACAATGGGATCATCTTTAATGTGAGTCCTCCCGCTGCGGTGTTTTTGGAGAGGATGCGAATGCACTTAACTTATCACTGCGTGAGTATCTGACTTCTGAACCGTTGTATATCGTCAGTCCTACGAGCCCCCTTAACTATGACAAAGTAAGGAGGCATCGACTGCAGCAAAAGTGACTCGCTCAGTGCCTGCGTGTACGTCGGACGCACCTGATTCATTCTCTTGAAGTTAGTTCGGTAGTACGCGGTAAATAGGGCTGATGGAAAACAGGACATTCTGCCAAAGGAGCACGAGGGACTATCGAGCCTAATGCATTGCTTGTTTACACTCCTGGAATTTTTACACTCCTCATGACAAAGGTTTCGTGCCACTTCGTTTGAAAGACGAAATTTTAACGGAAAATCACGCGACATGAAAGCGGCACGATTACATCTAAAGTTAACAGCTTACTAAAGACATGGGCGCAACGTACAAAGCTCGAGCCATACGTTTTCTGAAGTGACTGCAGCGCCTAATGCAAAACCCTTCGCGAGCTTGCAATTTTTGCAAATTACAAAACTAGCGACATATAAAGGCACGCGAATAGCTTTCTTATTTTGAGGCCAGAATTCAAGTCTCTAGGATTCGAGAAAGTTAGCGGCCGCGAATAGGTTCCTATGCCTAATTTGCGAATAATCGGGATCGCAAAAATAACGGGTTTTACATATGCAGAGTTTAAAATGTTCGAGAGGACAAATCGTGCGATTTCCACAAAGACGTTTCCGGAGGTTGGAGTTACAAACAATAGCTACGGAGCAGGGCAAGTGCACGAAAGTTCATCAATCGGTGCACCGTTCGCGAGTTTAAGATCCAAAGTGTGGGGATCCTTGCTGAGAGCCAACAACTGCAGCATGTAAAGCGCCGTTCACATATATGCAACCGAGCACGACCGAGATAGATTAGACCGGTTTTTAGGCTTCTTGCGACCTCTAAGGACCGGATTCAGTGCAGCGGAGCTGGTCCTAAGACGTCGCAAAAGGCTTAAAAAGCGGTCCGCTCTCTTTCGGTCGTACTCGGTTGCAAGAGCTCGTCGCCGAGGTCGTGGGGGCCACAACGCTCAATAATGTGCCCGGCATTCCCAAGTTGTTCGACTTCGACAAGGCACCGCTTCATGACAGTATGCAATGGCACTGGAACTGAAACGAAGAGCCACATCAAAATACCAACCGCAGTAGCAACAGTACTTTAGTATCCAGCTTGGTATTCCTAGCCTTCGCGTGTCTCCACGCTCGTGAAACGATACAATAGAAGCAAGCATTCACAACGTAAATAGCGCAGTTTACAAACAAACAAGCGTTCATTGTGGCGAGGATGCATGCTTCAAGGTGCGTTGAGATCAGACGACGTACGAAGGTATCCACACTCGCAGTGTTTCCAACATCGGCCGCACGGCGGCGACTGCGCTTGATCTCGGCCAATTAGCAAGAGCGGGATCACGGCCCCGAAGAGCTAATCCCTGAAATCATTCGCGTCGGGGCCCAATTGGGCGAAGAGGGGGGGAGGGGGGAAGGGGGGCGCAGTGAACCCGCATTCTGGTGATCCCGTAAACCCGCATTCCCGCGTAAACAACCGACGCATTCGAATAGAACCAGCTCGACGGCCCGGCAAGCCCGGCCGGTCTGGCTACGTCGCCCATGGCCTCCCCACCTCGCATGCCCACCATCGAGTTAAAGGAAATGACGTGGCGCGCTCGGCGCGCTTCTTTCAACTTCCGCCAAGCTCCCTAATATCGAACGCTTCAAGTTCGGCGGGGTTGGGGGCACTGCACGGGGTTGACGCTGCCACGAATCTACAAGTGGAAGATTACCTACTCGAGCCGGATCTTGCAGCGAAAGAGGCTCGCTCTAAAAGGGGAGCTTTTGGAGCGATCAAAAGCAGCAAGTGGAATTCACCATTAGAGGAGGCACACGCCCCGCTTTGGGCGTTATAAGAGGCGACTCCGTCATGGCCCGTGAGGAAGCACGTTAGAGTCATTACGCCCCCATTGGAGCCTCCGTGCTCGTCGCCCCTATATTATTCCTCTCCGTCTTTTCTGTCCTCCTCCTCTTCTTCCTGAAAAAAACAACAACAAAACATCCCCCTCCCTTTAGTACGCCCACTTTATCTTGAGGGTAATGTCAAGGCATCAAAGCGCTTACCGCAATCTGATGCGCCCTGATGCCCCAGTTGGACCCGGATATCGAACTTCGGGTTCTAAGGGAACGCACACGCCCCACGTCCCTAGAATGGAAAGCTAACACCCCCCCCCCCCCCCTCACGCTTCCACTGTAGGCTCCAAAGAGGATTCTCTCAGCCCGCAGTGTAAGCAACAAAACACGCAGACGGCGTCCCACGCCGCCTTTGAGGTAGGCTCCAAAGAGGATTCTCCCAGCCCTCAGTTAAGCAACAAAACACGCAGAGGGCGCCACATGGTGCCGTTGATGTAGGCTCCAAAGAGGATTCTCTCAGCCCGCAGTGTAAGCAACAAA